CCACAAATACACTCATCACACATACACACACCACACCCACCACACACACACACCACACACACGCATTCCACACTCACACACTTTCCTCACCTCCTGAAGAGGAAGGTAGCAGGTTCGGAGCTCTGTACACCAGTCGTTGGGGATGGGAGGGAGAATTAACTGGCTGTTTCTCTTCTGGCTCTAGGAATTTGAAACCTATATCAATGCTTCCGGAGAACACGGAATCGTGGTTTTCTCTTTGGGGTCAATGGTCTCAGCCATTCCGGAGAAGAAAGCTATGGAAATTGCTGATGGTTTGGGCAAAATACCTCAGACGGTAAGATAACTATCTGATTCTTTGATATCGAGCTCTTTAAGGCTTCAAATGTCCAAGTTAATCCTTATAGCTGGGCTTCCCAATGATTGATTCAGGGACTTTTATTCAGTTTCTTTCTCAACTCCTCTGTTAAATCACAGTCCATTTCACTTGAAAGTCCCATTTTCTCTAAGAGACTCAATGTATATTGCAGAGCATGGACTTCATTTTGATAATAAAAAAAAGATTTATTTATTGAGGTATACAAGAGCTGGGGTACAGGCCAGAGACAGAGTGGGGGGCAGAACAGGCAGATGGACGAAGTCCACTGCTGAGGGGAGCAGTGGAGAGGCAGGAGAGGTCTGCTGTGCCCTGGCTGGGGATTGATCTTATGCTGCAGTGAAGTGGCTGTGGACAGCTTCAGAGTGCTGCGCTTGACCTCTTGGGCCACCAGGGAGGCCCCAGAACACTGACGTCAGGAGTTCACTAATGAACACAGAGCTTCTGCATGGGAGCGCTTCTCCAAAAGGCGTTGGTTCAAACAGTGGATTTATCGCTTATATCCTGCTCCCACCCTTCTGCAGTCACTCTTTTTGCTAAGGAAACTTTCCCTCCAAGTGCAGAAAAGTGCAAATTTCCCATGATCAATTTTGAAAAACTCATAGACTTGCGCCATCCTCCAGAATCCCCAGTCCAGCCGGGCCCTGCACCCAGCTTAGCTCCTTCCGGGACCCTCCTTCCGGGACCCTCCTTCCGGGTCACCTCTTCACATGAGAAGGAGCATGGGCCCCGGACCCCCTTCTTTTGTCCCCACAAGGTCCTGTGGCGGTACACCGGACCTCGGCCCTCGAACCTCGCCAAGAACACCATCCTGGTCAAGTGGCTGCCCCAGAATGACCTGCTGGGTACGTGGGGAGCGCTCGCTGTCCAGGGCAGAGCGCGGCCACACTAGGGAAGCGCGCAGACCGCGTGCCGGGAGGATTGCTCGGTCGGTCCGGGGCTCCCACCCCACATTTTCTCCTGCAGACGTGGGCGGGGGCCGCGCTGAGTCCTGGGGTGCTCCCAGCGGCAGCGAGGTCAGGCGGGACTGACCTGGCGCCCCCCTCGTTGTGCGTGTCAGCTCACCCGAAGACGCGCGCCTTCATCACGCACTCGGGCTCGCACGGCATCTACGAGGGCATCTGCAACGCCGTCCCCATGGTGATGCTGCCGTTGTTCGGGGACCAGATGGACAACGCCAAGCGCATGGAGACCCGCGGCGCTGGCATTTCCCTGAACGTCCTGGAAATGACTTCTGACGACTTTGCCACGGCCATTAAAACGGTCATCCGTGAGAAAAGGTAAGCAGAGCCCAGAACAGCGCCTCTGTTCCCGCCCCCTCGTGACGCGATGCTGGGGTTGACGCAGGCAAGCCCCTGGGAGCTGGCTGTCCTGACGGGGCTGTCCGCACAGTCCCAGCTAACAGCAGCCTCTGCGCTCTCGCTTGCGGCGTCCACGCGCCTCCGGTAACCCCGCACTGGGGCGTTCGCTGCTTCAGCCGCGGACAGAAAGCGGGTCACCCACTCGGCGGTGCTGTGATTGCTCACTGCCTGGCATGGGAAGCCCTCCTTCCTCTGGACTTGAGTTTTTCCTTTCTTTCTTTAGCCCGCCACCGAAAAGTATCCTTGGCTTTCTCTCCAACATACTACTAAAGCGAAAATTAATGTAGCCAGCAAGTTTCAAGCAGTGGGAAGCTAGCCTTGCAGCTTAGGCTTTCTCTCCATGCCTTTGGAGAGACGACAGCGTGCGTGCAGGTGTGCGTGCGTGAGTCACGCGTGTGCGCGCCTGGCTGTGTGTGCATGCTGGGCGTTCATTTCTGGCTATAACAGGAGCGCAGCTCCTTAAGGAGTTTGGAAATTCGGGGTGCGCTAAGTGCACGCAGGCAGAGGGGCGCTGCGCCCCCTGCCGGCGGCCGCGGGCGCTCACTCGTGGCCTCTGCTCAGCTACAAGGAGAACATCGAGCGCCTGTCCCGCCTGCACAAGGACCGCCCCATGGAGCCCCTGGACCTGGCGGTGTTCTGGGTGGAGTACGTCATGCGGAACAAGGGGGCGCCGCACCTGCGGCCGGCGGCCCACGACCTCACCTGGTACCAGTACCACTCTCTGGACGTGCTGGGCTTCCTCCTGGCCATCGCGCTCACCGTGGTCTTCCTCTTCTATAAAAGCTGCGTCTTCTGCTGCCGCAAGTGCTTCGGGAAGAAGGGGCCAGCGAAGGGGTCAGGGAAGAAGCCTCACAAGTCCAAGGCGCACTGAGAAGGGTGAGGGGCCCCCTGCAGCGTCAGTATGGAATAACCTTATGGCTAGTCAAGACTGCGATAAGTTAGCCACTCCAGAGTGTTTTTCCAAATAAAACAATCTAACCAGCACCCTCACTTTGGGGTGAAGATGTCTGGGTCTGTTTTCTGTCCCCTGCAGCCCCTCTAACTGACCTACCCTTGTCCTTTCCCCGTGCACCCTCAGGGGGCTGCACAGAGCGCCCCTGTGCCAGGCAGTGCTCCCTGGCTCAGGTGGGGGCAGTGCAGGAGCCCGCTGCCCACCCTGGGGGTCACCCCTGTAGGTGACGCGGCTGGGGTCGACTCCGTCTCCCGCAACACAGGTCCTGGTTTCTGCTGCTCACAGGTGTCGCTTGTGAGGAGGGAGAAGGAAATGCGTCTTCCTGTGGGACTTGTATGGGAGGGAAATGGGGTGCGCGGCAGTGTCCCGGGCAGCAGTGTACGGTCCGGCTGTGGGAGGGGAGTGTGTGTGCAGGCCAGGCGGAGCGGAATTCAGTCGAAGCCCAAGGCTAGCAGAGCGGAAGGACTCGAGGGAATTCTGTGCGCTAAGCAAGTCAGAGGGCAAAGACAGATGCTGGTTTTGACACCTGGCAAAGCAAAACTCTTATAAACACTACCGGGCAGTAACAAAGGCAGCTTCGGAGGGGAGGGAGGGCCCAGGGAGGACGTAATCAAAGCCGGAGGTCACGGGGCTCGAGCTGCAGCCCACCAGTGTGCACAGCAGCAGGTGCTCGGTGCTCGGGAGGCATTTAGCACCCTCTTTCCCCCGGAGTAAAACATGGGTCAGATCCCACACATCACCTGGAAACCTGTTTCTCAGGTCAATACAGCGATCTTTTATGGCGTCAACACAGTAAATTTTAAAACAAACAAGAAAAAAACAAAGAACAAAACCCGCCACCAGGCTTTGGGGTTCTCTGGTCCTTGACGGTGGCCACGGGAGATTCGAGCCGTCCTTAAGCAAAGCAGAGCTCCTTTCCTTGACAGAAGCCCGGGAAGAGGCCGGAGCCAGCAGACTTTAGGGCTGCGGCGGCAGACTGCCCAGCCCTGTGGCCGCGCTGCGGGGCCGTGGGCTGTGTGCCCTGGCGGGCCTCCTTCCTGCCGGGCGCCCGCGCCCTCCTCTCTCAGGAGCTCAGCCACAAGCAGCGGTGAGTCCTCCCGTTTATCTTCCTGTAGAGAGTGCTCCTGGGGCTGTGGCCGGAAACATCAATGTTTAGAAATGCCGAGGGGCACAGAGAATGCTCCTTACAGACACACTCGTTACTACAGTACGTAGCTGTCAGGGCTCCCCGGACTGCGGTCAGAACACTTACACTAGCTCTGAGTTAAAAGTAATCTCAGGGAGGATTCAGGAGGTGTTAGAAGGAGGTTAAAATTTAATTCTAGAATGTTCTAACAAAAAGTTGAAGCAGCACATTGGGGCAGGGTCTGTCTGTGTAGAGACTTCAGGCAAGAGGCAGCCAGGCACGAGTGAGGTCACCCTAGGCCAGCCGCCCTCTCCAGCCCACCAGCTGCCCACCATGCTCAGGAGTCCAGCTGGACTTGGCTGGACACGGCCAGAGCAAGAGGCCGCCCAGCGGCCCCGCAGGCACTTCAGAATAACAAGCCGTTGCCTTTGCCGTTGAGTTTCCCGGCCGTCTGCCCGAGCGAAGGCGGCTACTCGCACGTCTAACGCTCCAGCCACAGCCCTCCCCGCCCTGGGTCTTCGCCTCCTGGTCCCGGAACCACTCTGAACCACGAGGACGTCTCTTCACAGTGGAGGTCACTCTTTAGAGGGCACCTGGGCTGGCAGCTGGCCCAGTGGCAGCTACTGTGATGATGGGTGCGGGATGGGGGGAGCAGGACCCAGGGCGCTGGGCGGGGCCCGCGTCCTGTTTCTCCTCCCTAGCGGAGAGTGCCTCTGCGGCCGACATCCCCAGGCCTCCGAGGCTGTGGGTTCCTGTGACTGAGGCGCTGAGGAGCCCCATCTGGCAGGACGGGTGAAGTCTGGCGGGAATCTCATCGGCAGTCTTGCAGCAGAGGCAGCTCTGGCCCCTGTCCGTGGCCCGGGGGCGCGTGCTGTGCCTGTGGAACTGAGGGTGACTGGGACAGACCCTCTTGAGGTCCAGGAAACGGGGTCCCCACCTTGTCCCCTGTCTTTGAGGGTCATATCTTCCAGTTATCCTGCCGGTGGAACCCCTTCCCCATCCTGCCAGCCAGCATGTCCCAGGGGATGACACCTGTCCCCAGAACCCCTCTCTGACCACCCCTCCACCTCCCACCCCTGCCCCCCCAGGGGGCTTGGCTGTGAATGAAGCGCCCATACCGTATGTCACCATAGGTGGGGGACAAACATTTAACCATGTAAGGTGGGGTGTGACCCCAGGATGGGGGGGGGAGGTCCTCACAGCTCTGGTGGACTCAGGAAGTCAGTTGGGCTGAAGGTTCTAAGGGCCGGGGACCCAACGGTGCTGCTTCCTGTGAACGCCGCCTGCCCACCGTGTGTCACGACCGAGGGGCTGTCTTGACTCCGACCCCCGCCTGCCAGCGTCTGGTCCCCTTGGATGTGCGTTGGGCAGACAGAGCTGCGTCTCATGGTGTTTTGTCCCACCCAAGAGGAGACTCTGAGAAGCGGTCAGCGTTAGGTCCGGGGCAGCCCTGTAACAGACTCTGGGGGGAGTTTCGTGCCAAGCCCAGGATGGGACCTGGGGCTTGAGCGTTTGGGACGGGGGAGAAGGATGTGGGAACACGAGCCTCCACGCTGACCTCTGTGCTGGGGTGCGGGGGAGACCCCCGGAAGGTGCGACGAGAGCTGCCAGGCAGCTTCTCACTGGTCATTAGCTTGACATTGGCAGAGCCCGGAGGGGGGAGACAGGCCCGTCTTGAGTGTGCCGGCACCAACACGTGTAACAAATCACTGCTCGCTCAGCACAGCTCCCCGAGGCCCTCGTGGCTGTGGGTCCACGCCGCGCCCCCCCCGCGGTGATGTCCTGCTGGACTTTGCAAGGCCAGTGGGACGATCTTTGCCCAACTGAGGAGACAGGATATGGCCGCTCTTGGCACAACCAGTCCCGGCTCCCCCACACTCAGGGGGAGGCTGAGACCCGGGATGGTACTTGTGGAGGTCCTGTTGGGGTGTGTCCACACACGAAATATTTACAAGTCTTATGTGTGCAAAAGAGTCTGAGGCAGAGATGGCAGAAGAAGCAACAAATTCAAACGAGGACTCGTCCGAGGAGACGGAGGGCCTGGGGCCTCTGGAGCCAGAAGACAGGGGTAAGAGGCCGCCCGGCCCTGCCGCCTGCCCCCTCTCGGTGCCAGCCCCTGGGCGCATCCCCGCTGGGGTCTCAGTTTCTCCATCTGTGGACTGGGTGGGCCGGACCCTGGCCGATCACCTGCAGCTGGACCGGTGCGGGACCTGGAGTCGGGGGCGTGGGGTACCCCCCTCGTTATGGCCTCACCACCAGCGCCCCTTGGTTTCAGGTATGTTCCAACAAGTCACCAACCTCCTCGACATCATGGACAGCAAGTCGGCTGACACAGACACGGTGGGGCCAGGCCCCGACATGCGGAAGACGCTGGCCTCGGTGATAATCACAGAGAAGGCCACCTCCAAGCCCTCGGTGGTGCTGAGTGCGCTCATCTGCTGCCTGCGGGTGCCGAAGGTGGGCTCCCCGCCGCTGCCGGGGGCTGTCCCTGCGCTGACGCCCCTGCTGGCTCTGGCGGGCGGGCCGTGCCGTGCTAGGCACCTCTTGCTCTGTGAGGACGGGCGGCCTTCATGACTTGGAAAGCGCTCTGTGTTCGCCACTGTGGGGCTGGGAGCAGCACCCCAGAGCACCGAGCTGAGTGAAGGCGCCCAGGCCAGGCAGGCAGACTGTCCAGCTGGGTGGAGGGTGCCGGTCGGGCACAGGGTGGGGGGCCTTGGCACGGGGTGGCCTTGAGGGCTGGCTCAAACCAGGTGGTCGGCCCCACCCAGCGTTTCCGGTTCAGTCCGGCTGGAGGGCCTGAGAATCAGCAGGCGTAGTGATTCCCGGCCAGCTCTACGCGGCTGTTCGGGACCTTCGAGACGGCCCTATCTGACTCTCCTCGCCTCTCCTGCGTGGCAAAGACCTCATTTGTAGAAAGCTGCGTGGCAGCCCCAGGAGGGAGTTCTGGGGTCGGGGGTTTTCCCACCAGGCTTTCAGGACCTTCGCTTTGCTGTCCCGCGGGATGGCGAGGCCAGCGGAGATGAGTGCCGGTGAAACTGAGAGCAGACCTGGAGCTGGGGTGCGTCCTGCCAGCCACTGCTGGACGGAGGACAGGCGGGGCGGTGGGGCCCAGGCTGCAGGAAGCAGCGAGGCGGAGGGAGCAGGCTCAGGACGGGCCAGTGCGACCAGCGGGGTGGCGAGAGGACACTCAGTGACAGGGGCGTCGGGACCCCTGCTGGTGGGCGCCAGCGAAGGAGGTGGAGGGGTGCCCGTCGGCTGGCGCGTCCGAAAGCTGTGTCCCCAGCGGCTCATGACCCGAACTGCCTAAGGGCGGGGGCCGGCCCTCTGGGGTCAGCAAGGCCACATCACACGGGCCCGTCAGGAAAGAGGGAAAATTTCAAAGCAGGCTGCACGCCCAGGCTGCCTCGGTGCAGCGCAGACGCAGCCGCTGACCGCAGGTGCAGCCGCTGACCGCAGGCGCAGCCGCTGACCGCAGGCGCAGCCGCTGACCGCAGGCGCAGCCGCTGACCGCAGGCCCGAGACCAAATGTCTGGTTTACTCCTTGAGCAGTGGAGTTGGAGTGAGGCCTTGACTTGGCGCTCTCCCTCCCTGCCAGACAGACTCATTGGCACTGTCCCCCAAGTGGGCCGAGATGCCACAGGCCACCGGGCTC